ATCTGGACGTTCTGCTGTACGAGTGGGAGGAAGAGGAGGAGGAGGATTTATTTTCAGCCTCCTCTCGAGCTGAACAAGAGGCGAAAACTGGCTCCAAAATCCTCAGAGAGACAGAGGGAAAGGAGAGCAGCAAAATCCCAGAATTAAGAGCCATCTGAACAGAAAACACCGTCCAAGTCTGGATTTGGACTCGCACATGAGAAGGTGTTCCTAGAATTCACTGATCTATGTAGACAAGACCTGAGCAACAAGACCAGCTCTAAGGAACCCAGACGGAGCGTTCCTGCGGCCAAGGTCTACAGGAACCCGCTCAAGGAACACAGGGATTCTCAGGTTCTGACTTCAAGTAGCCCGATCAAAAATAACTACCAGACGATGCCAGAGAGTGAGAGTTAGTCGAGACCCCAGACCAAACCAGGTCAAAAGTTGACAGACCAAGTAAGGCCATTATTCTTGGAGTCCAGAGTAGCAGAGATTGATTATTTTAATACTTGAAGTAAAGACTGCAGAGGTCTCATGATACAGAGTCAGAACCTCCGACTAAAATAGTCCACAAGAAATGTCTTTGACACAGGAAATATGTCTTTGACACCATGGCTTACAGGTAAAAACCTTCAAAGACTGCAACCAAAACAAGACCAGAAAGATTCAAAAGACATTTCGATGGTCAAGAGCAGCAGAGTCAGGATATATATATATATAAAAAATGATCATTTTAAGGTCAAAGACCAAGTCATGAGCAAAGAACAGCAGAGGTTCTAAGAACAAGAACAGGAAAAAAAAAAGCGTTCACAGGTGCTAGTCCTGATCCTGTTTCGGCTGTGGTTTATTGTCAGTTGTTCTGAGCTGCACTGACAGTTTTAATCAGGCGTAAAATATTTATTAATGATCCACCAGTTACGACTAAATTGTGGCGTCTGACATTCTCAGCTGTCATATTCCATCACCGCCACTAGATGGCAGTGACAGAACTGAGCTGAGAGCCTCTGGACCGCCAGAACACGGCAGCGCTAGTGAACCTCGGCTTCGTCGTCTCTGAGCAGAATGTATTAGAAAACGCCAAGCAGAGATAACCTTGAGCAGAGGACAACAGCCGTAATTCATCTTACATCATCAGGAGCGCTCGTGTTGTCACAGCATCTGAACTCGATCCATATCAAGTCCACAGACCTAATCCCTGTCCATCAGCCGCTGCAGGAGACACCGGGGGAGAGGAAGCGGCGGAGAAGGATGATGTCAGCAGCAGCGGTGTCGAACCATCAGCACTATGGTCTCAATGCTAATGACGTGCGGGGAAGTGCAGGAAAATGGAATAATTATCAGCCATTGAAAGTTCGATGTCATTCCTGTAGAAAAGCTGGGGCTGATGGGAAACGACTGAGACTGTGTGAGCAGGAGCCGCAGGGCGACAGTGACTGGGCCTGAGCTGACGCTGTTCCACAGCTCTGCAATTATACCGGTGATTGGCAGCAGCCGACACCAGCCTCAGTCCTCCTGAGGAGTAGTACTGCTGAGGAGCTGCCCCGCTGTCTGCTGGGAAACAGCACCGGGAAGGTGTGTTTCCAGATCAGGAAGTACTTTCAGGTCCTTAAAAAAACAGTACCATTAACTGTTTCGTGTTTCATGGCTGGTAACTAGTTCTAGGAACAAGAGACAATTCCAGATAGTTGAAAAAAACAAAACTATAAACACCTGAACTGGTACTAGTACTGACCAGTACCAGCACTAGAACAGTTTAAGTGACCGTCTGCATGTCAGCTGGTACTGTATGATGCAGATTTGTCTCCTGGTGACATCAACATCATCAGAACCAGCTGCCCATTCTACAGAGTCAGTCAGTAGCTAAACACACACACCCACACACACGGACAGGTCCCCCCCCCGCTCGTCCCCCAGTCATCAATATTTCACCAGCTTCAACATTTGAACTAATTATGGAGCAGCAGTGTTCTGTTTGAGGAAGCTGCTGTCAGTGGGGAGGTCGGTGCCATTAAACAGTACCTGACACACACACACACACACACACACCCAGGTCATGTGACTTCCTAACCTAGCACACAGTCTAATGAATAGATCAAAACAGAGACACAGACAGTAGAATCCCAGGGTTCAACACGGACACGACTCTGTTACAACATGTTTTAACGGCTGCAGTGACAACGACACCAGATGTCGTTGCAGTGGAGACACTGGAGGTCGTCTTCATCTCAGACAGATAGATATAACCCCTCCTCAAAGGACCAGACCACCTGAAGCTGAAGTGGTCCACTGTAAATACTCTACTCCATCCAGGCCTCCAGATTACCCAGAATACCCTAAAAGGACATCGGAATTTTCAATGCAGGTCCTCGCCAGTAAAGCTGAACTAAAAATCCAGAACCCAGTGTCATCCTCCGTCCTTATTGGCTGTCATCAGTAAAGTCATGGAAGCTGCTCTAAAAAAGGAAACGACAAACTCACCTCCTCAGCCATAACCTCATTTATAAACAGTGTGGATTCAGATCCACAGTACAACAGGCACCTGTACAGGTCTGCCCCAGATATTGAACCACATCCTTGGCCCAGGTGATGGGGTATATACAATAAAGGGCACAATGAAACTTTGGGGGAAACTTGAATTCTGAGTGGAATCTGTGACGATGACACACATCGTTAAAGAACTTCCTTCAGAGTCGAGCCGTCAGGATTACACTCCCTGGTTAGTCCTCATTACCATGCCCTAAAAACCAGCAGTGCTCCAGGGATCCATTCTGGGCCCACTCCTATTTTTCATCTTTACAAATGATGAGGTGAGAACAACATATATTTGTACACTGACAGTTCTATCGTCGTTGAACCCATAATAACATCAAGGCGGCGAGGTAAAACCAAGACCTGGAAGACATCAGGAAGGAGGCTGGAGCATGGAAAGGTTTACCTTTGGAGCCAGGAGGAACCAGGCAGAGAAGAGAACTCCAACACAGGTATCAATGCAGTGAGAAGCTGGAGGTTCCACCAGCCATCTGTCCAACATCTACAAAAGGACAGCAGAGTCCAAACCCCTCCGAGGTCAACACTCAGCCATATGTCTGGACAGGAGACATGACATCGAGAAGTGTTCAAGACAAAGACTGAACAAACAAGTCGTCCGTCTAAACATGTTTGTCTTTGAGCAGTTGTCATCAGTGGAACATTCACAGTAACTCTGAGAAAACCTCAGTCAGAGCACGGATCACGGTGACCACACAGACAGGTACTGTGACCTCCACAGCAGGGCTGTCCAATGGGCAGACTGGGATCCACCGGTAGATCACAAGGAGACTGATATTAGATCATGAGCAATTCAAATAAAAGCATTTGTCTTTAATCTAGATATAAGTCTACAGTGTGTCGTCGTGACCGTTTACTGTAAGAATTAAATTGTATTGTTCTATGCAGCCACAGGTGTTTGACGTTTCTAACGGAGGTGGATCACTTTAGCCTGGACATTTGAAGAGCAGCTCCGTTAATAAAAAGTGTGGGCACCCTGCTGTACAACCATCACTTCCTGCTCCTAAAAAAGTCCCGTTCTATTCTATTTTCCCTGGATTATTTCCTGACCTGCCTGTATAGTCTGTGAGAAGATCTCACTGTTCTTGGCTTCACCTCTCATAAATCTAGGACACCGTGTGTCCATGGGCTCCTGAAATAAAGATTTAAATATAAACGCTGGCATCTGCAGGTATGAAACCTGAATCTGAACACCTCGCTTCTTTCATCACTGAAGATACAAAAAAAAAAAAACCCCTCCACTGGCTGGATAATTAAATAGATTTATATCATCACAGAGAAGGATTCTGCGTAGGCTGATGATGGTAGATGATGATGAAGCCAACTCCCCCAACCCTCACCCATTTACACCAGCCCACGCTCACAGACATTGAGAACCTGGCACGGCTGAATATACCAGAGAGAAAAAAAGACACAAAAAAACAGCAGTGTGGGTGTGAAGACGTCCACAGCGCAGTGTCCAAATACAACCCACTCAAACATCCCACTGTCAGAGTCCTCATCCACACACTCACATGTATGTCACAGCTGCCACTGTAGCTTTTGATTTCACTGGATTCATTTGATCTCTGTTTATTCATTAAATTAAAAATCGGGAGGAAGAGAGAAAAGTGCTGCAGAGGAATAAAAAAGAGAGAGAAGACAGAAACATCAAAACCAGCTCAACTACACAAAAGAGGTTGAGAAGAAAAAAACATAAAAAAATAAACACAACACAACATAACAGGGCAGAGCTACAAATGAGATCAAAAGAAAGGTGGTGTTCAAAACTGACCAGAAGAAATCAATTAGAAATTAGAAAAACAACGAGATTCAGCCCTGACATTAAGAGAGTCAAAAGAATAACTTTTCAAGTTATTGAAATAACTTTCATCTTCAAGTGCCATGAAAACCTGTACTGGACTCAGAAGATAAACCTTCCTGCAAAACTTTCTTGCTGACACCTGGAGATATTCTTTCTAACACTTCTCTCTCGGCTCTGATCCTGGAAAACTTTCGCACCAACTGTTTGGGTTGGGTTGTCATAAATTCGACTACAACTGATAAACATTTTGTTGCACAAATGCCAGAACTGGAGCTCCACCAAGAGCTGAGTGCAAGTCCAATCTGTCCTCCAAAAGATGTTCAGGCAGTAAAGAACCATGAGACATTCAAAGTACATTAAAGGCTGCATCCGCAAAATTAAAATGAAGAAAAGTCACAGTGAATGAATCATAAAAATGTTTTAAATAATATAATAAAGAAAAGTCTTAAACATGGTTGTCTATAATGACTTTAATAGAACTGCATATATATTAAATATATATTATTTTCTTCCAATCTGGTTCTTCTCTTTCTTAGTCTTTGACAAAAATAGGTGGGTTACACTAAATGGGTTAGGGTTAGAAAAAAAAGATGGAGGGACAAAAATGTTATCTCTGATGAACCAAAATAAATCTCAGTAGCAGTTTTGGGGACGGACAGGAGCAAGTCTCCATCCAGAATCAAAGTGTTGACCTCTGACAAGTGATGGTCCAGAATAACTGACCGGACCACTGCAGCCTGCTGAGGTCAGCCAGGAGGAAGAGGACACAGACGGGAGGAAGACATCAGTCTTTGACTGCGTATGGAGGACACTGGGAGAGACAGAGGACACTGTCCCACAATGAAACTGTTCTCCGAGGTGGAACTGAAATGATGTGGTGACGATTCATCAAGTACCGAGAAACTTTGGAGGGAAAAAAAGAACGAAGACGTTCTCTACTGTAGACCTCAAAATGTCGACAGAAGAACCTGGTCTTCAGCCCACGGTGAACCGGATCAGACCAGCAGGACTGGGTTTCTTTAACAAAAAAAAAAGGACATCATCTGGTTTAAGACGTGTTAAACAAACTAGTATTGATTCCCAGTTAAAGTTTGGTCACAGACAGTGTCTGTTAACATTTGAAATCTGACATGATGCTGCTCAAATCACAGGTCTACAGGTTTCTGTTGGACCAAAAGCCTACACCTGAAAGAAGGATTTAACCTGTGGTTCAAATGGACGTCTTCAGCCATGACAGAGCTGCTGCTGCTGCTGCTGCTGCCACCACTGCTGCTGCTGCCGCGCTGTCCCCGGGGGTTCATGTTGGTATATA